ACCATTGCTGAAGAGCACTTTAGCATAACTAAACCTTTATTAATCCCTACAGGGGATCAAATTCTGTCCGAGAAAACAATCCTGCAAACCCATCCTCAAAGTAGATGTAAACTTAAAAGAGAACCCTTCATTTAAATCGTCAGTGTTTTCAAACCACTCGTGCTCCCTTTGTAGCTAATTATACCTTTTTGGTCACTCTGTTACTGTACCCATCAAGTCCCTCCTTTTTCCGAGGTTTCTGTTCCAACTTCCACAAAGGAAGAGAGTGTAACAAAAATAATGCAAGTATGAGAAGAAATGCAGGAAGAAAGGGATATTTAAACAAAGCAAGCTAATGGGGATAAGAGACCAACAACAGTGGTCCACTCCACGACTAACACCACACCCTAAAAAACACTGAGTGTGTATACATGTATGGTATTGTGTGAATTGTAGACCTTGGGAATATGGGATGAAGACTTTATGTTCTGTTCTGCCTTCAAACGACTGTTTTAGAGTAAATAATTGACTTTAAGGTTGAGGTTAAATGAGGTTATGTTGTGATAAAGGTTGGTGTAAGGCTCAGGCAGTTAGCTGTGACAGTTAAGAACAAGGGGAAGGTGTTAAGTCAGTGAGTGAAAGTGATTTAACTAGATGAAATTCAGAGTAATTTTGGTGACTACAGAGTTGGTTTTTTGGTTGTCACAGAGCTGGAGCTCTGAATTACACTGTAGCTCTCGTTCAATCGGACATACACAATAACAAATCTAATTATCTGAGATTAGTCATGTTCACTTTTAAACACGGTCACCTTGCTAGCAGCAAGTTGGATCCCCATTTTACTTTTCCACGGCATAGCTTCAACCAGCTGCTAGAAATATTCCTCACAACTTTTGGTCCACATTGACATGACAGCATCACACAGTTGCTACAGATTTGTCAGCTGCACATCCAAAAGTCCTCTATTGGGTTGAAATCGGGTGGCCTGGTACAGAACAGTGAACTCTTTGGCATGTTCAAGACACCAGTTTGGGATGATTTGAGCTTGTGACATGATGCACTATCCTGAGGGAGAAGGCTATAAAAAGCTGGGCACACTGTGGTCATAAAGGGATAGACAAGGTCAGCAACACCACTAAGGGTCCCAAATTATGTCAAGAAAGTCTTCTTTGGTTCAGGCACCTGAACCATGGATCCATGCTTTCATGTTGTTTATGGCAAATTCTTGATGTCACAGCACAAATCAAAACTCATTAAAAAAGGCGATCCTGTGTGAAATTAAGCTACAGTTTTCTGTTCTTAGCTGACAGGAGTCCCACCTGGTGTGGTCATCTGCTGCTTTAGTCCTCTGCTTCAAGTTTCCATGTGCTGTGCCCTCAGAGACGCTCTTCTGGGATCAATAAAGCATTTCCCCCCCAGACAGCTGCTGCTCACTGGATATTTTCTCTTTTTCTGACCATTCACTGTAAACCCTTGAGAGGGTTGGGTTGTGTGGGAAAATCCAAGCGGATCAACAAGACTCAGACCAGCCTGTCTGGCACCAACAACCATGCCACATTCAAAGTCGCTTAAATCACTTCTGTTCCCCATTCCAGAGCTCGGGTTGAACTTCAGCAGGTCATTTTGACCATATTTGCAAACCTGAATGCACTGAATTGCTGCCATGTGACTTGCCAATTTGATATTTGTATTAACAAGGACAAGAAGAACAAGAATACCTAATAAAGTATATCTTCTAAACTTGGCAGGACCTCACCATAAAGTGCATCAGTAAAATCCAAAGTGATTGAGACATTTAGCCTCAAGGGTACTAAAAACTTGTGTCACAGAAATCTATTTATTCAAAGAGAAAACCATTGCATCCAATGTGGCACATCCCACAGAGCTATAGTCTCTCTGTGAAAGATAACCATCCATGTTTATACAAGCACCACTTAGCCATACTTATCGTAAGTGTTTAGAGCATGCACAAAGACTTCTGACATAATGGCCAATTAGCTTCCTCCCTATCTGTCAGCTCAGTTAAAGAAAAGTTCAGAATTAGAGTAGCACGAGAGAGGAAGAAAATGCATTTAGTATCTCAACATAATGTACGGAAGCATGAGAGGAAGTGAGAAAAAGAAACACAGAGAAGCAGAAAGAGAGAAAACATGAAAGATAAAATACATCTGGAGCTAACTGGAAAATTATCAATGGAATTAGAGTACGAACAGAAAACAAACAAAAACAAGACCAAAAAAAAGATCTCAGAAAAAATTATATTGATTCATGTCAGAGCCTGACTAATATGGAACCAATATCACTACCAATTACCAATATTTGATGATTAAAAAAAAAAACACTTTCTGCTCTTCTGATTCATCAGCTGATATTTTTCTATAATTTGATATATTTAGTTTTACGTTTACTTGTTCACGTGTTACCTGACTCTCCTTCATTCTGCTGCTTTTTGTATAATATGGACAGACTCGTAAATAGCCAATGTCAAACGGTAGTACAAGCTACCAGTTAGTTAGTCTCTACTTGAAACCACTATGCCCGTTAAAGAGGGTCTATTTTGCTCATTTACTGCTCTATATTGATATTCTATGACTCTACTAAATGAGCTCTCCACAATTCCCAACTTAAAATAATTCCTATTTATCTTACAGTGGGCAATTGCACAGCTCCCCTCCTTGGTGCATACTCTGTCTAAAAAAAACACATTTTAGCTTCTTTTCCTCTCACTTTAAGCCAACTTGTTTTTCCTGATTGGAGCTGTGTGCCTGTGATGCCCTTATCAATGACAGCCATTTTACACTTTTGTAAAAGCATCGCAGAATATAAGAAAAATCATATTACTTCCCCTTTGAAGCAGCCATTTTCTCTAAAGTGGACTCGGCAGATATGTTGTTCTAAGATTCTCGGAGGACTTGCCACAATTATTTATTCATTTGCATTTAGGTTGTCTCAGATCGGCCTTTTCTGTAGTTCTCTCTATTCTCGAGCACACCAGCCTGTTTCTGTTTAAAAATCTGTACAAACATTACAGATGCATCAGAACACTTTTGGCTATCAGTAACAAGTACTGCTGAGACCCACAACACCCATAAACTGAGTGAAAGTCCAGGAACAAAACATTTTCTGACAGAACACCAATAAAATGTCTTCACTGGGGGTAAGCCAAAAATGGCTGCGCTACAGTGCGTGTGTGTGTGTGTGTGTGTGTGTGTGTGCGCATGAATCTAAAGCTTGGAGTTAAGTACTAGACTAGAGCTTCCGTGAGAAGGCTGAATAGCTAGCTCTCTATTGTTTACGTCCCCGATTTTCTCTGACTCAACACAGTAGCTGACATGTCACTCTGTTATTCTTTCTCTGCTCCTAAAGGACCCTACCAAGACACCAAGAGAACATGGGGTGATATTTATCAAGCTTGCCATAAACCTTTCACCCTGAACAAAATAATACAAAGTGCTGCATTTAGATTACTTAACTTGATTTAAATGTAAATGGAAGAATAAATGGTGAATGTTTTACTGTCCTGTTTTAAAAAAAAACGTAAAAAAAAAACAACGTAAATATAACTGAGATGAATTCAGTGATTCCTTCTCTTTTCTTTAAAATGACTGGTAAATAACACTTGCTTAGGCTTCCCATAGTGCAGTTTCCTCACCTTAGCATCAGCCATAATTAAATCTTAATAGTCTGTCTCATGCCCTACTTTCTGTGCCATTTGTGCACTGGTTTCACTGCCTCAGCAAAAGGAGAGCAGACAAAATATGAATCTCATCAGAATAGAAATGACAAGTAATGTCAACTGCCACATATTTTACATCAGTTTCAGCAGCATTCAAATTCAGCTGAATAGCTGCAGGCAGAAATATGCTGCTTTTCGAGAGATCTGACATTTTGACTAGTGAAAACTTGGGAAATCAACAACAAAATTCAAAATTTAACCTCAGTTCTCCTTGTTTTAGTTCAGATTCAGTTGAATAGACTGAAATAACATCACATTTATTTGCCTAGTACAGATACACAATGCACAAAAATGCTACAAAAACAAGGCAACAAAGCATTGAGTAAATCAGAAGAATCTCACGTCCACCAGCAGCAAAAAAAACATTTAAATTATCCCCACATTCATGATTCACAAAAGCTAACATCTCACGCAAACCTCATCAGAAATTCAACACCGTTGGCAAATAAAATATTTTGCATTTTAGCATTATTTTAAAAATGGAGTGGCTCTATTTTCTCAATCTGAAACTTACATAGTTCCGACTGTTCATTACATGTATTATTCAGTGTTCAATGTGGGCAAGAGTAAAAATCTTGACTTTGGAAGCTTTCCAGAATACACCTCACTTACAGTGCTCAGGTTCCTCTTGTGTATTTAAAATAATCAGTTCCTTAAAACAGCTGCATCATAAGTCAGCCTTTAATGACACTGCCTGTTTTGACTAAAGCAGGACGATAAAATGATCTTGATAATTTTCCGGGGAAAGAAAACCCTCCATAACAATGATGATAACAGACGAGTAATTTACAAGAAAAACAAAACAAAACACAGTTTTGAATGTGGGTCAGCCCTAATTTGCTGATTACACTATCAGACTACAAGAGGGCAATGTAGATGACACGTGCAGGGCCAAGTCAAGGGTAAAAAATAATTTTTAAACTAAAAATACAAAGCCAGTCTCAAGGCGACACAAAGACTTCTAAGATTGGTAAATTGCGGTTAAGAGAGGCCCTAAAACAAATCAACAATATGTCTTCACCACCATTTTAACAGGTAGTTGTACTCCTCACTAACTATAGAAAGACCAACGTACTAACGCTATCTTTGCCTTTTCAGTCATAGTACCTGTGACGGGAATTGGACAAATCACTTTATCATTAACCTTTTCCATGACAAACGATTCGTTTATCCAAGTGAAAAAAATCCAATGAATGACACTTTTATCCATTAAAGTATGTGACTTCATTAGGACAAAAGACAAAGACGCTGTATGCTCATAAAGACATTTAAATTTATTCAAATGCGCTTTGATTACAGCCAAAGAAAAGGATATAAGCTTCTGGATGTTCAGAGTCATTTTAGTTTTCTTTCTTTGCATCTACTGAATACATTTTCATGACCTTTCTGAGTTTACTAATCAGTCTGTTGCAGGTGAACTATGTGCTCATTTACTATTGTGCCCACCAACAATTCTTTTCCTCTCTCTCACAGAAGAATGCTGCATTTAAGCTACAAATGACTTCCTAAACCAGCTGTAGCGGCCACATTTCCTCTTGTTCTTTAAAATCTTACCCAGCGTGCCATAGTTGTTCCTCATAGTCACCAGTGTCATGTCCTTGAGAACATGGAAGTGATTATTTTCCCACAAGACAGACTGAATGTGTACGCAAGATCAATGATGTGTCACCATTATACGCTACAATTTACAAAACTGTACCTTTAAGTTTTATAGTTTTAAATTAGTCAACTTTAAAAGCCATCAGTCTTTACAAATTGTGTTTACAGCAGAAAATTTAAACAGAAATATCTAAAAACAAACTTCAGTCTTTTTAATCAGTAAGCATGCTGCTAATCCTACCTAGATTGCGCAACATTTATCACTTTACAAGAACAAAAGGAAAAAAGTGAGTAGAAAAGAAATTTGTATAGTTTAACAATCAAACATTCAGTACGGCAATATTGTACACTTGTTTAGAGACTGAAACAAAAATAGGAAAGATTACAATATTTGGCATTGCTACGCAGATTACAGTATTTAAAGACAACATGTGAATCTATCTACCACCACAATACTTCATACTCACATACACTCACAACGCACAGAGGGGAAACACTTGAGGGAAGTGCAGCTAATAAAGAAATGAGCAAAGGGGAAAGCTTCAGTAGCACCCTTGCTGGAAAATCTTAAACAGTCCAAATTCAACCAATGGCCGCATCCTGACATATCTGTAAACTCTCATACACAACAAGCACACATGAATGAATAAATGCAAAAGAAAAAAATAAATAAAATAAAAAATTGTTTAAATTGTTCTCAGTCATGTTTTCACTCCTGGTTAATTTTGATTGTACAGAACAGATAAACAATGACAAAAGTGAACTTGTGAAATATAAGTATAATTTGCAAATATATTTCACAACTCGTGTGGTTCAGGTTACTCCGCAGTGAATGTGGACCTGACATTTTCATTTCTGTACGTGCGTACAATTGACAGTTTGTGCCTTCCAAAAACAGCCAAGTGTTAATAAACAGAGCCCTCTCTAGCTGTTAGAGGAAATCATTTCCCAACAGTTTAAAATCGTGTTTCTATCAAGGCAACGATATATCTCAGTAGTCTGAGAAACAGTCATATTCATGCACACAAGGCATCGCCGACCCACCGCAAACTTTGAGTAAAATCCGCTAGCATTGATCTTTTATACACTAGAGAAAAGTGGAAAAATATCCACGAATACCTACTGAACTCTCTTTGGTAGTTTAAATAAAATGTATAAAGCTCGAATTTCTCTAGCTAACGCATAAAAGAAGACTCCATAGCTCATCGCAAAAGTAATTCCTCGCAAATTTAGAGCTTAGGACGGTATGCACACAACCAGTCCCTCTTCTTGTTGCCGCACAGAGGTAAGCCTGCTGGCAGAGTGAATGGGCTATTTGTCTGTTCTGATTGCATGTGATCCCTGTTTGTTTGCGTACACGTGTACTAGATCCCAAATGCAGGCACAGTAATGCAGTCACAACACAGCAAACATCTAAGATTGTACTAAACAAAACAAAAAAAAGGAATCATTTGAGATTGTTACAAATATCTGACTCAGGATGTCATAGGATTGTTTCTCCTACCAATCCAAAAGATAAGGGGTAAGGCTCACAGTTGAATGGTTATTCATATGAATGCTAATGTAAATGCTCTTGGGCAGTAACTGTGGGTGAGGCTCGGGGCACTGAAAATTTTTGACTGGTCAAGTACTTCTGGCATTTCAGTCAGACGGTCTCGCAATCATAAAAATCTTTAAAGAACAATAGTCATTAGGAACAGCCCAAAGAAAATGTTCAGTTCCTTAAAAAAAGTTAATAAGTTTAGGCTTTTGTGGTTGAAAATATAGTTGTGGGTTTTTTTCTTTGCTTCTTTGTTTTTCCTCTAACCAACAAGAAAAATCTCTTAAAAAATAAATAAAATTAGCCCAAAGATGTACCAATAATCAATATAAAATAAGTGCAATAATACATCCTTCCTCGGCCTTTCAGTGCCCCAGAAACACAAAATCACATTTGCTACATAATCATAACAAAGGTGCAATGACATATTACTTGAAAGAGATATTCACTAATCATTACATCTGCATTTTTCAGGTTAACAGTCATATGCCAAAGCTGGTTACCATACTATATTACAAAGAAAATGGATGTAGTGTGCAAACTCACAAATCATTTAAAGACATTTGTGAGCAACATCAATAAATAGGTTAATCTAAAATTCAAAGTCGGTAAATCTAGGTGGGTCTACACCTACCTACTCCTTCAGCGACAAGAGACAACAAATATTTAAAGAAAAAAAGTTGCATCATTTTTAATATTTAACACTGATTTATGGTATGAGGACTGAAAACCATAATTAACGAGCTGGTTGTTATCAGTTAGCTTCAGTACATCGATCCTTAATCACAGAAGTCACTTGTTCTGTTTGCATTCATCTATCCTGCGCTTCATTCAGTATTACTTATGTGACGATGATCTGGCAAATGAAGTGAAATCACTTTATTTCAGAAACGGCACATTTAGTTTTTCAACACAGTTTCGGTAAGGGTTTTTGTTATAACAATTTAAGGATTCACTTAAAAAAAGGAACACTGGTAGATAAACCTTTTGTTCATCCTCAAGTTACTTTACGTCTACGGCTCTCATATACTTTTTTTTTCCTTATTTCAACCCCCCTCCACCTATCATGCCTGTCCTTGACCATTTTAAAACATCATGAAGAGCCACTTTTTTTTTTCTCATAGATTTACTCTCGACTTATTCTACTTGCCAGCTGTGGCTTGTGCAGAGAGGATGCTTGTCTAACTTCCAAATGCAACAGAAACGGCATAGGCTATTCAACACCTTGTTCCATCTCTTTACAGCACATTTTAGCAGCATTTTAACAGCCATCACTTCAGCCGTTTCTTACGTGTCCAAATGCCAATTTGGCAAAAGTGTTTACCCTACACGTGACATGTTGTACCAGTTCTCATCTCCCCGTGACCATATCCCCACCCCTTTTCAGCAGAACCAAAAAAAGCCTTTTTGGTGTTCCTAACCCCATAGTTGCTGCCGCTGCGCTGCAAACAGAAAGAGCAGAGACGTTTGAGGCCCTTCCTGAAGGCAGAGTTGGAGAGGCTGTAAATGAGGCAGTTACAGAAGCTGTTACTAATAGCCAGCCATGTGGTAAGGAATGATGCTGCAGGGTGGTGGTAGATCCCTCCACTCTCCAACAGAAAGTAGAGGATATAGGGCAACCAAAGGATATAAAACACACTAGTAATGCGAAACAACACCATAGCATAACGTCTGTCTGGGTATGCTGATGTGGACTGCTGATACTGGGGTTGGGACAAGTGGGGTAACTGTCCTTGCTCTACTGTACTGTTGTCCTTGACCACAGAGCCAACTGCGATTCTTGGGCCCTGCAGTTGCTGAGGTCCATAACGTGCATGGCGCTCGCTGATCTCTCGGGTGTGCTGTCGGCAGATCTTGAAGATGTTTGCGTAAGTGAAACAGACAGTTAGAGCAGCTGGAGCGTAGAGCAGCGTAACAATGAAGGTTGTGAAAGCCCGACTTGTCCTCCATTCCACTGCGCACCACTCCACAACATCGCCATGATAACCAGGTTTCCCCCATCCAAGAAAAGATGGGAGAAACACCAGAGCAGAGTAAAGCCATATCAACACAATACAGCAGCGCACTCGACAAGGTGTCACTAGGGATGCATAAGTCAGAGGCCGTGTGATGGCAATGTAGCGGTCTACACTCACGCATGCTAAAGACACCATTGAAACTGACTTTAAAACAGATACCATGTACCCGAACACCTGACAGGTGAGTTTGGGATCGAAGCTCTGAAGATGATGGAGTAGGGACAGGGAGGGGAAAAGGCAGCTGACTCCCACCAGCAGATCGGCATATGCCATAGTCTGGATGAAAGCACTGGTGGTGTGCTGGCTGAGCAGAGGGGCACAGTGAAACACAAAAATCACCACTAGGTTACCAGAAATAATGAGAACAGTCAGGAGAAGTATGATCGAAACTTCAAGGAGGCAGGTCGTGAAAATCTGGGAATAGCCTATCTCAAGTAAGCAAAAGGGAGCAGATGAGTTTGAGAAGTCAGCAGAGCTCTGGTTCAGTGGATCCAGCGAGGAATTCATCATCTTGGGCAGAAATATCTGTCCGAAGGGCTCTTCAAGGATACAGTAAATCCTAGAAGCCACTACTTTGCCCGGTCGCTGGGTAGAGCTCAGAGAAGCTGTATGGTTTCAGTCCAAATGCAGTGCTCCATAATGAGACTGCTGGCGTTTATCATTTCAAATGAATGAAAGACTGAAAGACCATAAAAAGGTGAGAAAGTCCCCAGGAATTGTCTTCAGAGCAGGCTGTTAAGGTTTCCAAATGATGCAATACGGGTCCTTTTCTTTTTCCTGTTTCAGCACTGCAAAATTCCCAGTTGAAGGCACAAAGAAGAGCAAAGAGACAAAAATTTGACTTTTAAGGAATTCCAGTCCGACTTGCTTGAAATGCCTCCCTTCCCTATATAGTCTGAGATGTCATCAACATCTGCTGCAGCTGCAGAAATCCCAGACTGAATCTCTCTCTTTTCTGTCTACAGTCCACAGAGTCACAGACACAGCTTCCAGTGAGGAGACATTATTGTTTAATGTGCTGCATACATAATTTACATGAAAGATTAAGCATCATTTTTATTCAGTCCATTAACTTGCTTGTCTTTCCTCTTCCCCCCCGTTTCTTATCCTCCAGCTCTGATTTCTTGCTGCCGTTTCCGCCTCTCTGCTTGCTCTTGCCTCAGTTTCTGTCTAGTCCTTCGCAGAAAGATCACAGCAGAATGCCTTGAGCTGTGAGGATGAAGAAGGTGTGCGAGGTGACCGGTATTCAAAATGCACGCACGCCCACCTCAGCTGAGAAGGGCATCACCTTTGTCTGTAGTGGAAATCAGGCAGGCAGGCAGGCAGGCTGGCTGGGAGAACCCCCAGTGTTCATTTATTCTCCTTTGCTGTCTCTTTCTCACACTACTCGCTCTCTCTGCCTCTCTCTACAGAAACAGTGGCACTGAGGCACCACCCCCTTCCCAGTGGTTCCAACCAATGATCAACTGCAAAGACACGAGGCTGCCCTCCTTCCACCACCCTCCCACTCCTCCCCGTTCTTTTTTTTTTCCTTGGTGCCAGTGTTTCTCATAATCACCCCAAGACTTAAACATGATGTTTCACACTGCTAAAATTAGAAACATTCATTGTAACACAGAACTTGTGAATTTGACTTTTAAAATCTCTCATCCCCCCACAAACACAGGCAATCAGGCAGCAAGAATCTGCCCAGTCTCTTTCTAGACCCCAGTACACAGCATTTGTAAGTAAAGCGCTGCTGAAAACAATAACCACATGTTTTAGTACAGCTTACAGGAAATATTTCTATTATTAATCTTGGAGCAATCCACACAGGGAAAAAACAAATAAAGAACCAACAGCCCCACCATAGCTTTAGATTTCAATAGGCCAATAGATGCACAACCCTGTACACAAGTTAAACCAGGTGTTAAATATATGGGTTTAAAATCTGCATGTAACACTACTCAACAGGGGACAACTCAAATTCAGAAAAGAAGGCCAAACTCAAATGTTATTGTCTCTCATCAAATGTTTATATCTGCATTATGCACAATAATATAATATTAATGCACAACACAAATAAATCACCTTCTCCCAAAAATCACATGATTCAACACAAGACTACCAAAGTGGTTGCAAAAACAAAGCAGACAAACAAAAAACTAATTTTAGTTTTAAACTTTTGTGAACTCTGTAACAACTAAGCTTCAAAATAAGCTTCAGCTGCCATACAGATGCAGTTCCTGCCTTTACAGCCAAGACGCAAACGTGGCTATAAAAGACACGTAATTATTTCCTTACACCAAACTAACAATAAGTCATGATAATAATAATAATAATAATAATAATAATAATGGATACTTTATTGATCCCCATGGGGAAATTACTTGTTTTTCTCTGCATTTGACCCATTCACTCAGTGAAGCAGTGGGCAGCCCACTAAGCAGGCGCCCGGGGAGCAGTGTGTAGGGACGGTACCTTGCTCAGGGGTACCTCAGGGTAGCCGTTAAGTGGATTCGAACCGCCGACCTTCCGATCATGGGGCGACCACTTTACCTACTGAGCTATCCCTGCCCTATGAAGAGGTTTCTAAAGAAATTTTGAGTTCCAAGAGACACAACTGGCAACATCATGTGGACATTAAAAATGGAATGGCAGTCAAATGGGAATTAGTATTAGCACTGGTTTTAACAAGTGGGGACTGCAATGATCCCCAATGGACCTCCAAGTCAACTAAAGCTCAGAAACTTTTCCACAAGAAGCCGAGGGCTCACAAGACACTCCTGATAACATGCTGAAATTAAAGGTCATCGGTCAAATCTAATCATTCTAAAATACTGACTTTCATAGCTAAATTATTCTGCTTCTGATGATTGTTAGAAATAATTAAGACTGAGTGTTATCAGTAAGCTTAACATTATATTATTACTTTTATTTCTGACTACAATCATTCTGATTAAAAAGGGAATCCTACGTAAGAAGGTTGTTTCAGATTTGATATCCAAGTTTTACTGTCTCAAAAACAAGAAAAAGGGGGCTTATCAGTACATTGAAATTCAAATTTTACCGTTTTGTTTAACAATGATGTTCATTTGCACTAAATAACTGAACAATGACAGTGTAATGTTAAAATGTCATACAATTTCTATAAAAATAACACCTTTACAATATTGCTATGTTAGCAAAACAACATGTTCCTTTAAGTATTTATGTGACGTATATAATGGCAATGGCATTTTTTATAGAGCACATTTCATTATACTTCAATTCAATGCACTGAACGCAGAAGATTAAAACATCCGTGTAGGTTTATAATGATAACAGGTCAGCAGGCAGCTTGTTCCAATGAACAGGTCCACGGGAACTTAAAGCACCATCAGCACACTTAGATCTAATTCTGGGGACAGTTACAAGTTCTGCACCTGATGACCTGAGAGATCTGACTGGGTTACAGACACTGAGCAAGTCAAAGATTTTAAGGGTAATTCTGTAACAAACTGGGAATCTGTGCAGTGACTTCAGTACAGGAGTAATATGTTCAAATTTCCATGTAACTGTAAGGACACTGGGCTGATGCATTCTGAGTGAATTGTCCTACTGATAATTTGGATAATCCTTCAAATACAAATAATACAACAATAAAATAATCAAAAATAATGAGATCTAAATTGAGATCACTGTCTAAAATACTGTCAAGGTTTCAGAGACTCTATTCTGCTCTAAAAAGTTTCAAGACATCCAACAGTTTATGTCATCAATGCAACTTATCAGTTTATGAACAGAGGTAAGATCATCATGTTTGTGATCTGCATAAGGATGATTGGCTATACTATGATTGTTTAATTTCAAGAGTCAATCATTATCTGTGGCTATTAAGGCAGGGAGGAAGCGAAGGAAGTACTAAACATCTACACTGCTACATGGCACCAACTTAATTTCTCATGACATTCTCAGGTTGGTTTAATACCTTCCATATTTCTGAATGTTTGCACTTTTAGTAAAACTTTGTCAGTGAACTTGTTTGTGTCCTGATTCTGTATACATGAGCAGCGAGTTATTTTAAACCACATAATGTGAGGATTAAATTGAATTACTCAATATAGAGCACTAAATTTAGCAGCTTCATTAGGTAGTAATTACTGTCATATCTAGCCCAGCACTGTCAACATCCTACTCCTAATGACTGTCTGAAGACTGCAGAGTGTGCCTCGTGGTGGGCAATTTGGTGTAGCGTGATGGAGACCCAAACATACCCACACAGTCACACACACGCACACCAGCCTGCACCTTTCTCCCCCGCAATCCAGACACACTCCCATGCTTTCACGCACCTCTTCTGCTCAACACACGAGGAGCTAAAAATAGACGACAGTAGGACTAAGGGGCTGGAAGGAGGAGTGGAAGGGGAGGAAAAATGAGCATGGAAGTCAAAAGAAAAACAAAGCTTAATAAAGAGAGAGGAGGACGAGCTGGAGGAGAAAGATACGCAAAGCAGCAAGAAGCTAAGAGCTAAAATATGAGTACAGTGTGCTGTCCCGTGGTCTGCAAGCTCTGCACATGTTAGCCCTGTTAGCCGTCCATATGATGCTTCCCTGCTTAGCATCCGCTCAAGGTCAGGTGTTCAGCAGCTGACACACACCTGACAACAATAAAACACCAAAAAACTGCAGTACAGTCTGATACCTAAGGCCAGGGAAGGAAAAAATGGACAACAACAACAATCAACAATGATAAAAACGATAAAGAACACATTACTGATAGTATACTTTGCTTAGATGATCTCGTAATCATTTGTATTTGTTTGTATTGCAGGGTTTTCCTTCATATAGGAATTTTCCCACTTATAAATCATGATGAAGGAAAAAAACAACTGAAACAAATAGAGACCACACAACAATCAGCAATCCAAACTCAATATAAAATCCATCTTTACCCTGTTCTTTGTCCTCATCATTTCAGCAGGTGTTTGTGGGGGTCCAGTAAGTGCATTTCACTATTCTCAATGGTAGATTTTTAAAACCAACGGGGTTCGCATTAAATCTAAAAAAAAAAACAGTGCAGTCTGTCCAGATCAATTTGGCTGTCAACATTAAGCACCTCCAGCATCCAAAAAAACAAACAAACCCAAAAACCCAAAACCAAAAAAACCAAGTTTTCCAGCCTCAGGTCATTCACTTGGCTCCCAGTCCAGACGTTTTTGCTGTAAAGCTTTCCTTGTGACACCCATTCAGAGCAGTCCCTTATCATCCTTCTCATCTCTGCTGCCCTGCCTCTCCAGGTTACAAAGAAACTCAGACTTACCATTAACTGCTTTGAGTATGATACCAATTTCTCCACTTTTATCGACCCCTGGGCTCTATTCTACATTTTTGATGTAGTTGTTAACTCACTGAGCTACACTGTTAGCACCAGTGTTGGTCAAGTTACTTGAAAAAAGTAATCAGTAACTAATTACTGATTACTTCCCAAAAAAAGTAATCCCGTTACTTTACTGATTACTTATTTTCAAAAGTATTTAATTACTTAGTTACTTTTTAAAAACACGATTTACAACCTGAAGAGGTGATAAAGCGATTCTCAGCCCAATTCTACTTTTTCTGCATAATCCATCATACAAAATGTAATCAAATGGAAAAGTCTCTTTTTAAAACTTGTTTTATTAGTTTTAATCTTTTAACTTTATGCATCAAGCAAAAATTTAATTATATGCAACATTCTCTGACTGGAAGAAATTAGTTTAACATTTAAACCTATTTTCTGCACATTCCAGCACATGAAATAAAATATTTTTTGTTTTTACACTCAGCCTTTCAAGTAGATGCAAGTAAAACACAGCAGAAAATAAATAAAATCAAAGACTCAGCGGTCCTTTTGCTCTATTTTCACCTGTAAAGTAGGAGTGGGGTAGGTGGAGGTTTACCCTGGTGCAGGTGTGCTGCGGTCAGTTAAAGAATCCGCTAGTTTCTGTGTGAATTTCCCATTACGTCGTAGCGCACTCGGCGCTTGTTTGGGGGGGGGTTCGGTGTAAAAATAAGTTTTCTTCCCACGCACAACGGACACTAATGTTTTTGTCACTTTTTATGGAATCAAACTTAAAGTAAGGTCAGTACTTCCACGCTTTAAACGCTGCATGCTCATACTCTCTCCCACAATCGATATATGATCCATTGTTGATCTCTGGTTAGCACCCAAGTTTGTTAGGTTTAACTACTTCATCGTTTTGTTTTGTTTTTTTCTTTCTTCTTGCTCATCTTGCCATGAGCCATTCCATACCAGACAAAACCCAGTATTGCTGTAGGAAGCTCGAGTTAACTGTGAAATTAACAGGTAATCATGCTAGTGCTTAGGGCAGCTTATTTCTTTAAAAGAAAGACCACCACTGCCATAGTCTTT